AAGTTGGACATCAGGAGGCGCTACTTCACGGTCAGGGCGGCTAGGGTCTGGAACCAGCTTCCAAGTGAGGTGGTGCAGGCTCCCACCCTGGGGGTTTTTAAGAGGAGGTTAGATGACCATCTTGCTGGGGTCGTTTGACCCCCAGTACTCTTTCCTGCCATGGCAGGGGGGCGGACTAGATGATCTGCCCAGGTCCCTTCCGACCCTAGGAACTATGATACTATAACAACAACTGCTTTTGGCCAAGGAGATAATCCGAGTGGATGAGGTTTCTAAAAGGACTGTGCAAATCCCAGCACAGACACTTTCTCCCCAGGATCTTGGCCACAGCACATAGAGTCTTTGTCTGCCTCCCAAAAGCAGTCTTATGATGATACGTGGTGGGAGTGAAGATGCTGGGGCGGTTTCTTCATGTAACCAGCAGGCCCCGGCATCCGTAAACGCTGCCCCTTCGTTGGCTGAGTGAACAGAAAGCCTCTTCCATGAATGGGCAGCAAAGGCCAATGCTGCCAGTCTGCAGCATGTATCATGGACTAATTCAGGTCTCCTGAGGCAGTATCACAAACTGTTCAAGGACTCAACATACTGGTTATCAGCACAGAGACAGGCACTGAGGGAAGGGAGGGTACACATAAGTAACAGGAAAGACAAAGGTGAAAGGGTAACACCATAGATACTAGCCTGTAAGGAGAGAAGGAAGGGCATTGCTCTCTGACTTCTGTTTCCCTGACCAAATGCTCAACAGGCTGGGTGTTAGGAAGCCTGAGAAAGTCCTGAATACTTCTAACTTCAATATAAAGATGGACCATCCACAGCTGATTTTCCAAATTTGGAGCTGAGTGGGATTGAGATTTTTCCTACTTTTCACCCCAGAAACTGCTTTTCTTCCCTATACTGCTTAGGGAAAAAAAGGTCTGTGCTTTGCTTCCAGCTCCTATTGACTGAAGTTCTTGCGTTCTTCTCTTCCCCCACACCCCCCGTTTTGGTTTTTTTTATGTTTACATAATCAGCCAGCTGTCTGATTTTCTTCCGTCTTGGGCAATGACATTTTTTGGTGTAGCCCAGCCAAAAATTGTGATGAATTCATGTATCCATACAACTGTGATCATTGTATTGGGAGTTAGAACTTTCTATGCTTCCAAGAATAATAATCAGCTGATTAATAAGGGAGCCTGGAGAGGTCAGGCAAATTTGAAGTAAACTGTCTTGACCTCAGTGCAGCATTTTCATCTATGAACAGGAGATGTGATCTCTGCTGCTGCTGGAACCACGCATGGAATTGCCTTGTGACTTGCAACTACATAAATCAAAGAAAGCTCTTTGGCACTGGGCAGCTCTCTGGTTGAGTGCATATAGTTAATTGCAGTGTGGACCACCTATACTGAGGTCTCTTTAATCAGTCAAAACTGTGCAAGCCCATCAGTATTTTGCTTGTGTAACTGTTAAGTGATAATGAAGTAAGGGCCTCTACAGGCAGGCTTAACTGCTGACTTATCATTCCATGGCCACTGATCATGATTAAACTAGTCATATTTTTCCACTTGAGAAGTAAAGGCATCAGCACTGAAAAATGAGGTGATTCTAGCAAGATGCAGCAGCTTTCAAACAGCTGGTGGAATCTCAAAGGAATGTATTGCATTGAAACAAACAACAGAACTGAAAGGTAGCCTGAAGAGGCTGCTTGATCCTGCCGTTCTGACTGCAAGAAAATAGTCTACGTGGAGAGGTATGAACACTACACTATGCACTTTAAAGTGCAGCTGTAATCAGAGAAGCAAACATGAAGTGGCAGCCTTGAGGGCCATATTTATTCTTCTCTCCTTAGCTGATGTATGCAATCAGTTTACCATATAAAAGTCCTTAGTTCTTGAGTTTATTCTGAACTGCCAACATTGCAAATAGCTTAGGAACTGAGAATCCACCTAAGCTTTTCTGCCTCTCATTGTATGGTCTCCTCCGAAAATAAGGCCTGAAAAGTAAAAATCAGCTGCTGCTATGTGAAGCTGTTCAAAATCCAGCACCATAGCTAAAAGATGTGAGGATGATCACCTTGGGCTTTGGTCAGATAAGTGCACAAATAACATGGGAAGACACAAGAAGTAGATCTGTGGAGTAAAAAGGGACCCACTTCACAGACCTGCTGGTTCAGAAAGCATGGAAATCAAATTTCTGACTGACCTGCAATAGTATGAATGTTTTGTGTAATTTGCTGTTAAACACCAGGATAAACAGGATACTTGTAAGTCTCCCTCCTGTCCTGACACTTGTCAAACCCTGCCCTGATGCTCCTGAACAGGCAAATAGGAAATAGAGCCAAAACCCAATCCAGGAATGGTGGACTCCAGATGTGAAACTCATGTCCCAGTCTCTGGCCAGCCCAAACTCTGGGAAGTTTTTAAAATCTGGCACTCTGCTCCAGCCAAATTTCCGGTTCAAACAGAAGTTCTACTGAACAAGATTTGAACCCAGCTTATGCTCTCTCACAGCTGGGAGAGACCGTCTTTCACGGAGTCTATAAGAGAACCGTGAAGCCCAGAAGTCCCTGCATTCTGCACAGTCCACTAGGAAGCAGCAACCAGTGAAAATCCTTTCGTGCCGCTCCTCCTAAAGTAAATCCAGCCCACAAAGAAGAGGAATATCACATCTGGAGCAGATGGGCTGTGTCTGGTCTGAAGACTGGTGGTCTACGATAGCTACCCCTTCTGCACTGGCCATGCCAAGCCAACGGGGAGAAGCAGAGGAGTGGGAAGAAGGAAGAGAGAAGCATTGAGTTGGATCAGTACAAAATGATCATCTTCCCTTTGCCACTCAACCCTCAGTAGTAGAGGACACCTCCCTGGAACAGTCAGAGGAGAGCTGGTCTCCCTCCTCCATGCAATCAACCTGCCTCAGCTCACTTCTTCCGGCGGATCTTGGGTTTCTTCACGGGCCGGAGGTAGGGATTATCAATCATGTTCTCTTCTCCGTTGCGGCTGCCAGACAGGGATGTATTTTGCTGCAGCACCGACGCATTCTCCTTCTCAGTGCCTGAATCATCCTGCCAGATAAGGCAATAAACAGCCAGTTAAGACAAAGCTTGATAGGGAAACATGAATTGTGGAGCTTGCAGACAACACGCCAGCTATGACCAACAGGGTTTAACCACGAGCAGCACAGAGGAGGACAAGCCCTGATTTCTAACAGAAGCAGGTCACTAGGAGAACAGCACAAGATCCCAGGGAAACACTCCCTCTCTAATGCAACTTTAATGCCCACGAGGCTCTGTGCCATCAGCCAAACCATGGTAAAGAACAATGGCAATTTGTCAGCCATTTACACCAGTGCAAAAGGGGTATAAATACTCCCCAAATCTACCAAATCTTGTAGCCCCTTGATCCATGTGGAAACAATGCTCAAAAGAGCCAGGCAGAGGAGAATCACACCTCAAGGGTCAAGAAGGTAGCCCTAAAGATTCCCAAGGCTCTGAGGTGGGACATACCGTGCTCATATGGAGGGGGAGGTTCTCCGTGTCTGTCTGGTCATCTTGCTCGGACGAATCTGTTTCTTCCATCTGCTGCATCTCCAGCTCCGAGGGGAGAAGAGCCGTCAGGTATGGTATTGTGAACGGTCTGGCAGCAATCACT